AAAAAAAAAAAAAAAAAAAAGGCAGCCCGATCCAGGGATTCGGAGGCATCCTGCTAGCGATCAGCTGACGCGCCGAGCCGAGCTGCAATGTGTTGCTTATTCATTTTGTACGGTGGGAGCTGCCGGGGCTAAGCAGAGAGCTGAACTATGCCTCTCCTACAGCCGCGCTTGTGCAGACAGAGGGGTGAGAGAGAGGCAGCCGCCGCGGGAAGAGCACAGCCGGACTTTCTCCTTGTTTTTATCCATTTCTGCAGGATCATGTATTTATAAGGGATGAGGTGGGCCACAGGGATCGCAGGCCTGAGGTGCGGCCTACCCAGTCAGTGCAGAATCAGGCCCTCCACTACCGGAACCGAGAGCGCTTTGCCACAATCAAATCAGCATCTTTGGTAAGAGCCCCCATCCCACCCCACCCCATCCCACCCCACCCTGCAGCCCCTCGCTGCCATCGCCGCCCCTGCTGTTGGTGCTGTTGGCATAGCAACTGGATATTGCACTGAAAGAGGTTCTACCTCTGTGTGTGTGTGTGAGAGAGAGAGATGTAAATGTGAAATATGTTTAATTTCTCCGTGCGTTTCCAGTGTGAGATTAGCCCACCTTTCTGGTTGAAGTTAATACCATCTCATTCCCCCCCACCTCCACTCCATTTCCCACCTGTCCCTTTTGTTAATATATTTATCTGCATGTGCATAAAGAGTGTGTGAGGTGTGTGAGAGCTGCTGGAACGCCGTGGAGATGCAGATGCAGATGGGTTTGGGAACAATAAGATCGCTGCTGCCCGCCCTGAGCTGCTGCCTGGGTTTTTTTGGTGGGTGTTTTTTTTATTATTATTATTTCATTCATTCATTTATTTCAAGCAACTGTACCGTGACTGCATTTTGCAGCCGGATCCTTGGGAAGGATTGCTGGGCTGCGATAAGGGAGAGACAGAGAGAGGGCTTGCAGCGGGCTGTGGGCTTACAAAGGGGAGGGGGATGGGATGAATCCATCCAGATTTGTACTATTGCAAATGTGATTGCTGTGGATGCCTTTGTAGTAGGGAAAGGGGTGTGTGCCGGAAGAGTTAGTTGTGTGCCGCCTCCCCCACCCCGCATCCACCCGGGCTGCGAGCAGCCTTTTCCAGGGAAAGCGGTGAAAAATGGCCCTTCGCAGGGAAAAGGAATGTCCCGTTCAATATTTCAGCCCGCTGGTATTAGAGGTCAGATGGACGGGCAGCGTTAGAAAGTGCCCACGGTTTGGCCATGGCACTTGCTCAGTGCTATGACATCATCCCGGACCAACCCCGAAATGACACCAGCGAGCCCTCCCCTTCCCGCTGCTCCTGCCTCCGCCGTGGGGCTTCTCCTTCCAGACCACCATTTCTGCATCCCCAGAATCGCTGCCCGCTCCTGCCTGCACAGCACGGGCTCTGGGGCTGTGTGTGACCGCGGCTAAACGTGCTCACTGGAGGGAAGCAGCACCAGCGCTGCCAACAGCCCAAATTTTTCTGTCTGATCGTTGCTGCTGCTGTTAAAATCTAAAATGATGCTGTGGCATTCGGGCTTCTGCCCAGATGCTTACTGGGAGCATCTGAATCCCATCTTTTGCAGGTGTATTTCTGGCTGCCCATACCTTGAGTGCCCCCCAGGTTGGTGTCCCCTGCTCCCCTCCAGTTTAAAGTGACCTAGAAATGTGTGTGTTAGAGGACCTCATGCAGTGCACCTGACAGGGGCAGGATCCCTGCTCTCCTGGAGACCCTCTGCCCTGGAATTTTTTCCTTTTTTCCTGTATATATGTGTGCTTGCACACAGTGTAGTGCCAGCTCTTCTACTGCCTGCACTGAGCAGATAAAAGTGGGACCCAGTTAGGTTGGCTGGAGGGCAGAAATAATGAATGACTCATGTATCATACTCCAGACATACAATTTCATTGATAAATTGGTATGTATGATGAATATATTCATGTTCTTTTACTCCCTGTGCAAAGCTGCTGCACCTTGTGGCCTGCCTTCAGCAGCAGAGCCCAGAGCTCCTGTCTTCCCTGGAAATGTCACCCCTGCCCTTCTTGGGTGGCTTGAAGGGATTGCATGGCCAGGCTCCTTTGGGAGACAGTGAAAATATGGGCTGTGAGGGATTCCCAGATCCCTGAGCTCTGGGGAATATCCCAAGGTCCCAGCGTTGGATATCCCAAGGTTGCTCCTAAATCCCATGGCAGCCTCCTGTGGGGCTGGGATTGCGTCTGCCTTAATTCCTTACTCACTTGGATTTGTTGAATCTCTGCTTCAATGACCAAGTGACGATAAAGATATAATTCATTTTGGGTGGGAAAGATGGAAAACTTTTTGGAGAGCTTCTCTTTTTTGGGTTTTCTGTGGAACATGCTCTGTTATCCCCCACACACCTCCCCAGTGTAGAGGGAAGATCCCAACACATCAACCTGGGCACTCCAGGAGGTGTTGGTGTGTCCTTACTTCTGAGGTTGTGTGGTGGAGCAGAACTGACCCTGTGTTTGCTACAGAAATATTTCATGGTGATGAGCTTTCCCTTTAATAATCTTCCATTCCCACCTCTTCATGTTCCAAAATGGAAATCTAGGAGGAGGAAAAAAAAGCTTCAACCCATTACACAGAATCAGGGTGCCAGTGCTTGTGTTGGAGCACCTTTTATCACTGGCACCATTCAGTGCCTTGATGATGACAGTGGGAGAGGTGCTGGATGCTGCTGGTCCTCTGGCCAAGGGAGAACTTCCTCTGCTTCCCTGTCCAATATTTGAGTGAAGGGCAAGGTCAGCCATGGAGCTGACACAGGGAAAAAGACCTGACCATGCCTGGAATTTGTAGTGCAAACTCAGAAATTCAGGCTTCATTCATCTTTCAGTGGCAGCTGGAACAGATTTTTCCTGTGTGAATGGGTGCTCAAGCTCCCACAGTGGTTGAAAACAAGCAAACCAGCAAGCTTTGATGGTTCCCTACACGCTGCCTGCTTCCCATTTCTCAGCAGCTGTGAACACCTTCCCTGCACAGAAAGGTTGTGCAGTTGGGAGCATCAGGTGGCCTGTATTGCAGAGAATCAAAAATGGGAGTTCTGGCCCCAAATTCAATAATATGGGATGATATTTGGGTGTTAAAACTTCCTTTCATGGGATTTGATGAAATCCACCCCCAAACATGAGTCCAGGGCAGTGTTTCTAGTAGAAAAACACCAAGCCTGGGGCTGTTCACTCCACAGCTGCTCCTCCTGGTGCAGTCCAGGATCTGGGGCCCTCAAGTCCTTGCTCTTCTCCCCAAAGATCAGAATATTGTAGGAGGTAAGACTGGTACTCCTTAAAGTAATCCAATGTTCAAGTTGGACCTCTTTCCAAAAACAAGCTGAAGCAGTTTAGGGATACAGAGGTCACAGAGGAACTTGTTAGACAGCTGAACAATCCAGGTGGCCCAGTGGTTTGAGGAGTGATTCCCTTGCCCTGTTATTCTGCAAAAGCATCATGTGAATATGAAGGAACCTGGACAGAGCTCCAGAGAAAATTATCAAATGAACTACCCACAAAGAAACAGGCTGTGCATGTCCCCTTTTGAGTCTTGCAGTACTGCTTTAATATTGCTCAGATTAAAGAAAGTAATGAAAATCAGCAAATGTGAGTAAGAAAGATGAAGGAGCTTAACTGAGGTCATAATTCAATCAGCAATTTTAGTAGTCATTTTTTCCTGGACCACTTTTCCCTTTAATCAGTTTTGTGTGGTAACAGTAACCATCACTCACCTGGAACAGTGGTGGAAGATACCATGCATGCATATATCTGCTGTTAGAGTAAAAGTTGCCACCTGAAATGGAGACCAGGCACCTACATCTCCATATTATTTCTCAGATTATCAGTGATCCATACATTAAAAGTTACAACCAGAAATCTCTTGAAGCTCAGCCAGCTGTTGTTTGAAAGGGAGGGCAGAGGTTCTGCATGTTGATGAGACTACACTTCTCCATGTTTTCAAGGGAAAGCTGTTTTTTGAATCTCCTCAGAGATGCATTGATCTGCACTTCTGGGTGTCTTTCAAGCTTGACCCCTTAGGTCCCTCCTTCCTCGTGCATCTCCTCAACAGCTGCTTTACAGTTTTCAAAGGCAATGATCAAGTAAACTTCATAGAATCCCAGAATGGGTTGGGTTGGAAGGGATCTTAAAGCCCATCTCATTCCACTCCTTGCCATGGGCAGGGACACCTTCCACTATCCCAGGCTGCTCCCAGCCCCATCCAGCCTGGCCTTGGGCACTGCCAGGGATCCAGGGGCAGCCACAACTGCTCTGGGCACCCTGTGCCAGAGCTCACCACCCTCACAGGGAAGGATTCCTCCTTCACATCTATGACATACCATTTCATAGAAAGATCAGACACTGAGGACTCTATCAAAGGCCTTGGTGTTATCTTTGAAATCCAAATGCCACCAAAAGATGATGTGATCTCATCCGGGGCCTGCAGAGCCAAGTGTCTGTGTCCATGGGAGCAGGATTCCCTGGATGTGGACAGGGAAATGGCACCAGGGCAGCCAGAGCCAGGTACCTTCACATGGAGCTGCTCCCTGCACCCTCTTCTGCTGAAACATTGGTGTTTTATTCCAGAGGGTTGAGTTTCTCCCAATGGACTCATCTGGCTGCTGCCTTTGTAGACCTTTCCTCTAAAATTTTGGACTTGTTCTTTCTCATCTCCTCTTGCTGTGAGAAGCAGCTGGCAGTGTTTTGCTCAGAACTCTGCTTCCTCCAGCACAGGGGAGCTTGGAATTTCACTTATCTAGAGGTGAAAATTCCTATCTTTTAGGAGAGGGTTCAGTATCTTGGATAAACAGTGTAGAAAAGGGAACTCTAAACAGTTGCTGCTTTGGAGGTGAAGTTGTGAGCTCAACTTCCTTACATAAAGCTAAAATCTTGGAGGGGTGAAAGAAAGTTTGGATTTTGTGGCAAATGAACTGCCTGTGGGAGTAGGTTGGAAAAGACATCTCTGTTCTCAGTTCTGTTACGCCAAAGATGCAGAGAGATAAGAAACTGAGAAAATGTCATACCTTAATAAAAGCGGTTCTGGTTTATACAGGTTTTTGGTTCTCCTGATGACCTTATTGATTGTTGTGTGCTGCAGGGAGAGATCCAGGAAACTGCAGCTTTCTGGTGTGAAGGATCCAGACATTTCCTGGTTATATGGAGAACAAATTTTGTAGTTATCACCTTTTGCCTCATGATAATCTGTGGGGTTGTTTGTGGGTTTCTTCCTGAGGGGCAGCTCTGACCTCTGATCCCTGTGACCCAGGACAGGACCCAGGGAATGGCTGGAGCTGTGCCAGGGCAGGTTTAGACTGGATATCAGGAAAGGTACTTCCCCCTCTGGGGGAAGAATGGGCACTGCCCAGGCTCCCCAGGGAATGGGCACGGCCCTGAGGCTGCCAGAGCTCCAGGAGCACTTGGACAACACTCCCAGGGATGCCCAGGATGGGATTTCTGGGGTGTCTGTGCAGGGCCAGGGGTTGGACTCCATGATCCCTGTGGGACCCTTCCCACTCAGGATATTCCAGATAGTTCATAGAGTTCCAAGAGTCTTTGTCCAAGAGCACCAGAAAGGTGATTACTGGAACATCCCCAAATTTTCTTGTTAAAATGGTTGCTGGAGCTGTTCATTCATTAGGGACTTAATCTTTAAAACCATAATCCTTTATTCATTCACAGTCTGAAGGACTTCTCTGGCACTGAACTGGGCTTGTTCAGTAACTAACGTTCACTTCCTCACATTCTCCCATCCCTGAGATCACCATGTGCAGGCTTTGTCTTTGAAGACTGTCCTGAGTGTTGGACTTAACTGGAGAGTGTGGTGATAAGTGAAGTCTTTATCATGAGCTTGCTGAACACAGACATTAAATCCATGAGATGTCCACCAAGTCTGCTGCTCTCCTCTCTCATCTCTAGGATGAGACACTGCTTTTGTTGTCTTCTGACTTTTTAATGTCTCATCTTCTGTTGTGGCTGGAAGGCTTTATCAGCTAGGCTTGTAATTAGCAATTGCATCCTATTGTTAGGGATAAATATCCTAGACTTCATGGGAAATCTTTCCAAGATGGAATTCTTGTCACGATAAAGCTGAGCAAAATTGGAAATGGGGAGCAGGGAAAAAAACACAAGGATAAAAGTTAATGAGTTTTGCTGTAAATAAAACAAGTGCACATTCCACATCTCAGTAGAGATCAGACCAAAGGAGACTGGCAAAGTTGCTGGAGGATCCTTAGATCCATTTTTTCTTAGGCTCTTGCTGTTTGCTTTGTTCTGCCAACGTCTGGGAACGGAGTGTGCCGTGCAGAACATCCCATTGCTCACAAAAGGGCCGGGCCCCAAAAATAGCACATCCAGGAAGATCTTGTGCTGCTGGTGGCTCCCAGATCTCCATTTCTCTTCAAGTGCCTGACCAAGGCTGTTCTCTCCCAGCTGGATGTCACGGAGTGTTGTCAATGGCATGTGTGAAGTGTTGGTGGTCTGCCTGTCTTACCTGGCATCTGTCTCTTATCACTAACTTGAATTCTCAAAGAAATTTTCCTTACCTGGAAGCTTCTAGCAGAGATCTTATTCATGCTGAACTTGACTGAAATGTGCAAGTTCCTATGAACACTTCCCAACTTCTTCCAAGTGCAGCTTTCCTTGGTATTCTTCGAAAAACCAAAAGCGTTTTGAGCTGTAGCAGAACACAGGGCTCAAACAGTGTTTGTGTTTCTGTGGTCATTCCTACAATCCCATGTGCTCCTGGTGCCTGCCTTGGATCTGACTGGGTCTCAAGCATGTACAGGTGTTGGGGAGGATGAATAAATATGATTGCATGGCAAAAGATGTACAATAGTACAGCCAGGATGAAAACAATCCCCCCCCACTGGTTGGACAATGCCCTTACCTACAGATAGGTCCAAAAGTCAAATGGACTGTTCCATCTCAACCCCCAAAATGTACGGTTCATCCCACACCTGTAACACCAGGTGTCTGTGACCCCATTGCCCACCTTGAAGCCCCTTGATAAGGGGTCTCTGAGGGGCCAGACGCCCTCTTGGAACACCCACCCTCTTGGAACTTCCACCCTTTCCTGGAGCATCCTCTCTACCTCTGGTCTCTCCCCCATCCCCTCAAGCCTTGCCACATGCTGGGTCTGGCAGCTCCAAGCAGGACCTTTCTCCATCCATAATAAACCTGATACCCCAAGAGCAGCCCGCAGAGATCTCTGGTCTCCATTCATCTGAGCTGTCCTGGAGCCCATCTTTCCCCGCATACGACTCCTCAGTTGCTGAGGTTTAAGTGTGTTTCATCCAGCCTACTCCAAAATGCCATTCTGAAATGTCCTGTAGGAAGGAAGTGTTGGTCCATCACCACCTGATGGGTTCTCAGCCTCACTGAAGTGATCAGCCCAAGTCTAACAGTGCTGTGCTCAGGCTGGTTCTTTGGTTCCTCTGCAATCTTTGGGAGGCTCTTCCCAAGTTCCTCTTCACACTCCTCCCAAGTCTTGGGGCTCATTTGAACCCAGACAGGTGGCACTGGCTGCCTGCCTTGGGTGACCTCATTCAGGGTGTTCATCTCTTGATTTTGGAGCTCTGACTCGGCTTCCTGTCACCTCCCAGCCCTGGAGTCAGCAAGTGCTCTTCTGTTGAACCTGAACCTTCCCAGCTCTGTAGGTGTATCCCATCCTATGTCTGAACCCCAAAAATCTCCACAAAACTGCCTTCAGATGACAGCACTGTTGCAGGGGCCAGTTTTTGGGCTGCTGTGGAGGAATCCATCAGGAAGGCTGCAAGAGGAACTCTTGGTTCATAAAGCTCCAGTGGTCACCTTCAAAGGCTTGAGCTCTTCACACTTAAGTGGGGAAGTCCCCTTGCACAGAATCAGGGGCTGCAGTTCCACACGTGTACCAAGTTCTTGGTTCTCAGGTCGTATAAATGATCAGCAGATCTTCATAAGTTCCTGAGACTGTCTTTAAAAAAATAAAAACCAGTCTTGGACACTTTTCTTCTTTTGAAATGGAAGCATCACCATTTGCATTTTCTTCTGAACATTTTTGGCACAGCCTGTTGGTGTTTTTTTTTTTTCTTCCTTTCACATGGATACACTTGGGCATGGAAATGAATGTGAAACTTGTGAGTTTGTTTCAGCTGAGCAGGGTTTAAAATCTGCTTAGACCATCTGATCAATTTGTTAAGAGCACACAGTTCCAGAACAGTGTTCCCTTGTTAGAAAACTTTCAATTCTGGGAAGGAATGAGCTCAGTCTGCCATCATCTTGAATTTTAAGGGGAAATATTGAAGGAGGCTCCTCGTAGCAGAAAATAGATGTTGAGGGATTGAGTTGGCAGGGGGGTGACTTGAGGAGGAAGGGAAGAACAGGGGTTTGGGGGGGTTCTGGTTGCTTCTTGGGAGTCCATGACACCCTCAGGATCCGAGTCCTGCGTTTGAATAAGGTTGTCCCCTGCATCTGAAGAACATTGTCCATCAGCCACCTTTGTTTCCAGATCTCCTCCAATTTTTCCTGGAGTGATATGGATGCCTCAGGTTTTAGCTTTTATATTTTTCACATTCTGTTCTGCTTTAGTGTCTGAGTTTAGGCTTCATGTTATGGGATGGTGACCTCTCTCTACAGAGTAGGGAGACAAAATAATTCCTTCTCTAGCTGAGGACCAAGGACACATTATCCAAATCTCAGGCCCAAGAGCACAAACAACATGGGCTGAAGAGAGAAAACAAAAAGGATGGGGCTTCATGGGCTAAAGCTGTAATTGGACAATTAACTCCAATGTGCAAATGGACCAAAACTATAAAAGTGAGAGACCCTGTGACCGGTTGTCCATTTTGTGGCCATTTTGGGTTGTGCTGCCTAAGGTAGCTCTATTGAGGTCTCTAAATAAATACCTACTTTATTCTTCAGCTCCATCTAGTCTCTGTTCTAAGGCAGCCTTCACAAGGCATCAATAAGTAACCAGTCCCTTCCTTTATTTGTAATAATGCATTTTCTGCTGTGTTACTGAAAACACATAAGTCTCAGGAAAAAATGGGTGCTAAAAGTTAGCACAGAGAGAAACCTTGTGACTTTGTGACATTGAACAGCAGCACCTCCAAAAAACCCACCAATTGCTGAGAGCACAGCGAGCAGCAGCTGGTGAGGGAAGCAAGGCCACGGAGCACTCGTTGGCCTGTTGCTGTTGCAGGTTACAAGACAGATCCATGAGCATGAGCAGGAGAACGAGCTGCGGGAACAGATGTCAGGATATAAGCGGATGCGGCGCCAGCACCAGAAGCAGCTGATCGCCCTGGAGAACAAGTTGAAGGCCGAGATGGACGAGCACCGCCTCAAGCTGCAGAAGGAGGTGGAGACACACGCCAACAACTCGTCCATTGAGCTGGAGAAGCTGGCCAAGAAGCAAGTGGCTGTGATGGAGAAGGAGGTGAGTGCAGGGGGGATCCTGGGGAGCCCAGGTCTCCAAGGGGGGCTGGGGAGGTGCTGCTCAAAGCCAGGGTCTGAGGTGCAGAACAAGAGGGCACAGTCTTAAGCTGCACCAAGGGAAATTTAGGTTGGATGTTAGGAAAAGGTTTTTTACACAAAGCACTGGAATGGCCTGCCTGGGGAGGTGGTGGAGTCACCCATGCCTGGATGTGTTTAGAAAAAGACTGGATGTGGCACCCAGTGCCAGGGTTTAGCTGAGGTGTTAGGGCTGGGTTGGACTCAGTCATCTCAAAGATCTCTTCCAACCCGGTGATTCTGTGACCTTACACTCCCTTGAGTCACCTCTCTGCCTGATGGGCACTCTGTTGGCATCCACCAGTGCCACAGCTGCATAAAAGGGGCTGTGGGGACCTTTATGGGAACTTTACTTCAGCTGAGGGGGTGGCAAAGCTGTCACTCAGTCTAAAAATCAGCATGTTAATCCACATAATAAACTGGTGTGCTTTTGGTGACGGGGTAAGAAGGACAAGGAAGCTCTCAGACTTATGTGAGCATTTTCTGTGCAAGCAGCTTTCCTGTGGCTGAGTGCTCATGGCTTTGTCTAGCACAGTCACCAAAATGACTGACCAAAAACCACAACACTGATTTCTGCTGGATTCTGCACCTGCTCACTCACCCTTTTTGCTTTTTCTATTGTTATTTTTCCCCCTCTCTGTACATTGCAGGCAAAGGCAGCTGCAGCAGATGAAAAGAAATTCCAGCAACAGATTTTGGCTCAGCAAAAGAAAGACCTGGCGACCTTTTTAGAAAGTCAGAAGAAACAATACAAGCTTTGCAAAGAAAAGATTAAAGAGGCAAGAAACCCTCATTTTTGGGGCTAAAGGGGTGTGGAATGAACATGAACCAGTCTTTTGTTTTGATAAACCTGGGCCAGCCCAGGGGTTTAAGGGATGCTGTCAGGCTTGGAATCGAATTTTGGATTCTCAGCAAGTAAATTTTCAGGAGCTGGGAGCATCTGGCAGCATTTCCAGAACAATTTGTGAGGGTGGCTACAGGTGCCTTCACAATTTGCTGTAGAGCAGAATCTTTGAAACCAAGGGTGATGAGGGAAAATGGGACTTCACAGAGAGCTCCTCCCCCCCTCTCCCCACATCTGTTTTTTTTTTTTAAGTAATCAGAGCAGCCATTCAATGTCCCTTGACTATGATCACTTACATAAATTAGGAAGAGAAGTGACTTCATATGTACCAAAATGCATTATTTCAGTAGTGTCTTCACCATATTGCAAAAATAATTGTCTGTTAAGGTTAAGGTGAGAAAATGATAATCAAGGATCTCAGTGGCCACTTCTCCTCCTACTCTTGGTGTGGGTCCTGGTGCGGCTGTAGGGGCAGCAAGGCTGAGCATGGCCAGGTGATAGGTCTGGTTCTGTTGGTTTGTAGCAGGATTTTGGTGTCCTTTCATGAACTGGATGGCAGAGGAGGAGCCAGGAAGGTCCCCCATGTCCTGTGTCACGGTGGTGCTAAGGGAAGCCTTGTTTTGACCCTGCAGGAAATGAATGAGGACCACAGCACACCCAAGAAAGAGAAGCAAGAAAGGATATCCAAACACAAAGAGAACCTGCAGCACACACAGGCTGAAGAGGAGGCCCAGCTTCTCAGCCAGCAGAGACTCTACTACGACAAAAACTGCCGTTTCTTCAAGAGAAAAACGATGATCAAGAGGCACGAGATGGAGCAGCAGAACATTCGGGAAGTATGGCACTCCTCACTTCCTCTCCCAGCCTTTTTTAACTGCCTTAGCTTGGTGTCTGGACTGAAATTAGGTCTTCATGTTTCTAGTTGCTAAATAGAACTAAGAAAAATGTAAGAAAATAGGTTTTGGGAAATGGTTTTTCCTGCAGCTGTGGCTGCTGTGATCAGGTGAGGGATGGCAGCGTTGGCTGCAGCCAGAAACACCCTGGGGGCCTCTCCTCTGGGCCTGGTGCCTCCTCCCAGCTCCTCAGGGTTGGGTTTGGGGGTCCTGCCCCACTTTGGGCTGTGGGGAGAGCCATGGGATGGGGATGTGGATTGTCAAGGAGCAGCTTTGCACACCCTGCTTCCCCTCGTTGGTTTTTGCCCCTTGCCTCAAGGCTGCCTGTGGTCAGCCACCACGTTGGAGAAAGAGATTCCACTTGGAGATGTTCCTGTGGCCATCACTGTAGTATCTGAATTCTTCATTGATGTTATTTTTGGATAAAGACTGTCAGATGAGAGGGTGTTCTAGTGAAAACTGAGTGAGGAGTGGTCAGAAATTTCCAATTGTGTTCAACCTGCTATGCTCAGACTTTCCAGTGTAATTTGTACTTGTTCAGAGCTTTGCTGCCCTTGGGTCCAGATGTGCCTGGGGCTGCTCAGCTGCTTTGCTGAGATCCAGATACCTCAACCACAGGCACCCTCAAAACTACCGACTCCAAAAATTGAAATTTGATCACCCTTATCACCCTTATGTCAGCTCTTTGGCAGGGGTGAGAACACAGTTCAGTTACCTAGCATGGCATTTAACCAGGAGCACACATCTGACCTCCTGCATTTAAGCTCTTATGAGAGACCTCATTTTCAGAATGATCTGAGTTTTTATTCCCTGAAAATTACATCCCTACTAATCCAAATGTGCCAGTACTAGAAGACTTGGATCACCTGAAGTAAATAACACTTTCAAAATGTGTTTTCCATATTTTAACTAACCACAGATGTTGTTTTTGTGCAAATGGGAAAGTGTTTGAGGGAAGTGGAATGACTGTGTTTATGCTGTGTGAACTGAAATCAGGTGTGGAATAGGCTTGGGAGAGGCTGGCTGAGCTATCCTGGGGTGAAGGCACATGTGCCACAGCTGTGCCTGGTCAGTGCCCCACCTGCCTTTGTGCCCGTGGGAAGTCATTTTGGCACACCAGTACATGTAAATTTTAATCTTGGCTGTCAGGGGTCAAGTTTTGCTTAAATGTAAACACATGCTACACCCTTAGGGCCAAGAGGGAAGAGGGAAACGCTGGCCCTGTTTCCTTCCCCATCCTCTCAGCTCAAACCTGTCCCAGGTGTAACAGCCACAGGGGCTGAAGTTTGCAGGTGATCCAGGATTACCCATGTGAGCAGCAGCTCAGAATAATTACATTTTTTTGCTTCTCCTGCAGAAACCCGTTAGGCTGAGGCAGCCCTGGGCTGGGCAGGGGGTGGGATGGGGCAGCCCTGCTGTGCCTGGCTGGTGCAGCAGGGAGCACGGCCTGAGGCTGTACCCTGAGCCGGGATCAGGGATGCACCAGCCCCATCTGTGAAGGGCTACAGCTGGAGTCAGCTCCGTGCTACTCGGGTGTGGCTGACACCTTGAGACACAAATACCTGCAATAATCAGGGAGGGAACTGGCGCCTTCCCCTTCCTGGGCTTGTGCCTTGGGGAGGGTTATCCTGGACTGTGGACACGCTGTGCAGGAGCTCTTGGTGAACGCTGCAAAACCTTCTGAGCCCCGGGCTCCAGCCTTATTTTTAAAACGAGCTGCACCTTGGTAAAAATGCCACCTGGACAATTCACCTCCTCACCTGAGGTGGTGTTGGAGCCATTGACCTCTGCTTTGGCCACTCTAGTGCAGGTGATGGAAGGAGAGCTCATTCCCAGTACCCACCAGGGGCACGGAATTTAAACCAGACAAGATCCCCAATTCCATCAGCCCAGCCCTGAGCACCCTGGGGTGTGTTCCCTGAAAGCTGCTGCGGGTCTCTGCGAGCACGGAGGGCTTGTGTGGGCTCCTGGTGCCACCTGCTGGGGACGGGGGCCATCCCTGAGCAGGACATGGATAGGGATGGGGGATGGATGGATGATGGATGGTCACTGCGTGGTCACTCCTAGCATCCCCATGGCGCTGCTGGGTTTGTGCCCCGCTGCTGTGCAGTGAGCAGGAGCCTGCAGCTCAAGGCTGCCTGTGGTCAGCCACCACTTTGGAGAGATTCCACTTGGAGATGTTCCTGTGGCCATCACTGTAGTATCTGAATTCTTCATTGATGTTATTTTTGGATAAAGACTGTCAGATGAGAGGGTGTTCTAGTGAAAACTGAGTGAGGAGTGGTCAGAAATTTCCAATTGTGTTCAACCTGCTATGCTCAGACTTTCCAGTGTAATTTGTACTTGTTCAGAGCTTTGCTGCCCTTGGGTCCGGACGGGCCCGCTCAGCTCTGTGTGTGTGTGTGTGTGTGTGTGTGTGTGCAGGAGCTGAACAAGAAGCGGACGCAGAAGGAGATGGAGCACGCCATGCTGATCCGGCACGACGAGTCCACGCGGGAGCTGGAGTACCGGCAGCTGCACACGCTGCAGAAGCTGCGCATGGACCTGATCCGGCTGCAGCACCAGACTGAGCTCGAGAACCAGCTGGAGTACAACAAGCGGCGCGAGCGGGAGCTGCACAGGAAGCATTTCATGGAGCTCCGGCAGCAACCAAAGAACCTGAAGGTGCTGCAAGCTTTGCTTCTCCTCCAGCCTCTGTCCTCCATGCAGCACCCGTGCTGTGGGACCACCGTGCTCTCCACAGCCTGTGCGCTCCCTTGCGTCCCCTCCCCTTGCACAGAGCAGCTCCAGATAAGGGAAGTTGTGGGCTGGGATAGGCCAGAGCTCACACGGGTTTTTAAAGTGCTGTGCCAATTGAGGCTGTTGTAAAATAGTCCAGTCCTAAGCTAAGTGTTAGAGAAGTTGTTTCTGACAAAGCTGTGTGTTCAGGCCCTCGCTGGTGTCAGCTTGGAATGATGAAGAGAGGGGGTTTGTGGTGCTTTCAGAGTCCAGAGAGAACACAGAGCACTCTGAGTGTGTGCTGAGCGCTGTGCACGCCCCAGTGTGCTCCGAGCTGCTCTCTGTGGTAGAGGCATGTTCCTCCTCCCAGTGTCACAGAATCACAGAATATCCTGAGTGGGAAGGGCCCCACAGGGATCATCAAGTCCAAATCTCAGCCCTGCACAGGCACCCCAGCAATCCCACCCTGTGCATCCCTGGGGGCATTTTCCAAATGCCCCTGGAGCTCTGGCAGCCTTGGGGCTGTGCCCATTCCCTGGGAAGTCTGGGCAGTGCCCAGCACCCTCTGGGGGAAGAACCTTTTCCAGATACCCAGCCTCAGCCTCCCTTCCACAGCTCCAGCTGTTCCCTGGGGTCACTGGTCACCAGAGAGAAGGCACACTGCTGTCACTCTGTCACACCCTTGCTAGTTCTTCAGTCTGCAGCCTCTGCCTAGTGCAAGGTTGAGGAGGGAAGGATGCGGAAGGGGAAGGATGCTGTGAAAAAGCAGATATGTTTTGGGAGGCAGGTGATGGGCTGGGTGATCTGCAGGAAGTGGGCAGTGCCCTGGGCTGAGGAGGGCTGAGTGGCTGCTCTTCCTGGCCAGGCTGCAGCAGGGCCTGAGTGCTGCCGCTGCTGCTTAGTCCCTGTGGGAAGTGCACAGAGGGGAGCTGTGGTTCCCACCACCCCACCCATGTGGACGTACCACAACCTCTCCATTCCCAAAGCCCTTCGTGCTCTTCACATCGTTCCTTCCTTGGCAGGCTATGGAAATGCAGATCAAAAAGCAGTTCCAGGACACATGCAAAGTGCAAACTAAGCAGTACAAAGCACTGAAGAATCACCAGCTGGAAGTAACTCCAAAGAGTGAGCACAAGACAATTCTGAAGAGCCTGAAGGACGAGCAGACACGGAAGCTCGCCATCCTGGCCGAGCAGTACGAGCAGAGCATCAATGAGATGATGGCCTCACAGGCGGTACGTGCAGGGGGCTTGGGGGCCTGGCAGCACCCTGGGGGGACTTCTCCAGCCACTGAATCATAAAAACTCTTTAAACAACACATCAGGTGGCACTTTCCCTCTTGGAATGTGTCCTGTGGAGCACACATCCTTCCCCTGCACCCCTCATGTGCTGGGGTTCAGGATTGGATCTGCTGAGGCTCTGCCTCAGTGTGAGCAGAGCAGCTGCTGCTCATGAAGCCTTCCCTGCTTTCTCCCTCTGCCACCAACACCAGCGGCTGTGGGAAGGAGTGGAGTGGTGTGTGACTTGTGTGGGAGCAGAGGAATTCCCAGCGGGGGTTTGAGCCTTGTTTTCCCAATGCTCTCACAGCTCCGGCTGGACGAGGCCCAGGAAGCAGAATGCCAAGCCCTGAGACTGCAACTCCAGCAGGAGATGGAGCTGCTCAACGCCTACCAGAGCAAAATAAAGATGCAGACAGAAGCACAGCACGAAAGGGAACTCCAGAAGCTGGAGCAACGGGTGTCGCTGCGCAGGGCACACCTGGAACAGAAGGTACGTTCCAGAGGGGGCTTGGGGAACACAGG